CTTTGGGGTGCAAGACAAAGTCACTGAAAGTTTTGAGCAGGGGAGTACATGATAATATTATGAAGAAGTTCACTTGTTCACAGTAGATTTTATCAGAGTACAACATACATATAAAAAAGCGAACATTATCAAGCTCAACAAAGTTTTTTTTCAAACCAGACACTTACGTTACTAATAACCAAATAAAGAAATAGATCATTAGCAGAATCTAAATAAGCTTCATGCCCCCTTCCAATCACTGCTTATTCCCCAAGAGTGATCACATGGCTAATTTCAAACACCATATGTGAGTTTTGCATATTTTTAAAAATTTCATTCAAATAGAATTATAGAGTATGTCCTCTTTTGTATGTTTCCCCCCTCAAAATAGTTTGTGAAATTCACCCACAGTACTGTCTATAGTTGCAATTCATGCCTTCTCATTGTTAGTGTATTTACTAACTGAACATACCACCTTATTTATTTACCCTACTGTAGACAGACATCTGGGTGGTTTCCAGCTTTGGGTGATTATGAAATTGCTGCTCTGAACGTGCATGTTAGTATGAATTGATGAATATATGTGTGCAACTCTTTCAGGGAGATACAGGAGGATGGAATTGTGGAGTCTTAGAGCATGCTGGTGTAAAAAACCATTGAACTGATGAGTCCCCACAACAAAAATGTGTAAGTTCCATTGCTCAGCATCTTTACCAACACCTGGTATCGCCAGTGTTTATCAGTGTAGCCCTTAGTGGTTTCATAGTCCTTCATGTTTGGCATTATCTCATGGTGTCTCTGATTTTTATTTCCTTCATGACTATAAAGTTGACCATCTTCTCTTGTATTTATGGTACATTTGTGATGTCTCTGCTCAAGCCTTTGTTTGGGGTTTCTGTGAGATTCCAGATCTACTTTTATTGATTTTTAGGTATTTTTTTTAATATGCCAGATATGAGTCCTTTGTTAGATGAATGCTTTACAAATATCTTCTCCTATTCTATGGTTCGCCTTTTCAGTCCCTAATGGCGCTCCAGGCTCATGGGGTAGCCATTGATTTTGTGCCACTCTTTCCCCGGTCCCAGCAGGAAGGACACCTCAAATCACTTCTTTCTCATTTCAGGACACCTGTGTACGATTGCAATCTTGCCCAGGGCTCTATTAACCTTCTCCTCCCGAAAATATCAGAGTCTGAAGGGACCCAGATTGTTTGGACATTCCACATGATACCACATTGCTTTAACACATCAGTGGCATCTTGCTAATTGGGAGAGATGCACAAGATACAGCAAGAATGTTGAATAAGATCTCTGTAAGAAACCTGTGCTCCAGGGGCACCTCGGTGGCTCAGTCAGTTAAGCGTCCAACTTCGGCTCAGGTCATGATCTCGCGGTTCGTGGGTTCAAGCCCTGCGTCGGGCTCTGTGATGACACCTCAGAGCCTGCTTTGGATTCTGTGTCTCCCCCTCTCTCGGCCCCTCCCGTGCTCACACTCTGTCTCTCTCTGTCTCTCAATAATAAATAAACGTTAAAAAAAAAAAAAAAAAAAAAAAGAAACCTGTGCTCCAAAGGGTGGGAATAAACCATATTAAGATTTTAAGGATCCAGTGGTCTGGGGTATTCTGGGACTTTCCCACCAAAGAAAAATGCCCAATTATTGCATTCACACCTCCCTCCTCCCGGTAAGAAGGAGGCGCCATATCTGACAGCTTTCACCAGGTTCTAGAGGAAGTACATATTCTGCACATTGGAATTCTGTTCCAATTTATTTACTATGTGACGCAGAGGCTGCCAGCTTTGAGTGGGATCGGAACAAGGTTCAGGCTACGCTGCCAATACACTGCCACTTGAGCCCTGGGAAGTGACAGGCCCTAGGGTAGTAGAAGTGTCTGTGGTAGGAAAAGATGCCACAGGAGGGTTTTGGCAAGCCCTAATAAGGAGGATCCCAAAGTGGACCCGAGTATCTGGAGCAAGGCCATGCCAATAAATACCTGCCAGGGTGAAAGTTGGTCCTGGTTGAGAAGAAACACCTGATCACAGAGCATCAACTGACCATGTGGCCAGAATTTCCCATAAATGGAACCACGGTAACCATGGTAACCATGGTGGCAGGGATGGAAGGTAAAGCCTGGGTTCCTCTCATCAAGGGTGCCCTGGATTCTGCAGCCACAAATGTGCATCCTGTCAACAACCAAGATCAGCACTGAGCCTCTACTATGGAACCATTTTTCAGAGATCAACTACCTGCTCAGTGCCAAGTGAAGCTGTGCTGGACCCCTTCCTCCCTGGGGGGGGGGGGGGGCGCGGGAGGGGAGGAACAGATCATCACCATCGAAACTGACACACGTGGGGACTGGGGTGTCCTCAGCCAGAACCAGTCTCATGGGGCTCATGGGACATTTGCTCCTCCTCACACAGAGACAGCTGCCTACCCCAAGACATCCACCCTCCCCAGTGACTGGTTGGTGCTGGGGTCCAATGACCTGGCCCCAAACCTCTAACTGGAAGGACCATCCTGGCTGCCGCTCTGGGTTCTGCCAACCCACCTTCCCTCACCCCTGAAAGCAGGCTCCAGCCCCCCCTCCTGAGTGAGCACCCCCTCTCAATGTCTTCCTCGGGGAACAGGAACTGCCGCAGGTATTCTCTGCACTCAGAAAGACTTAAAGGAAGAGAGAAAACCAGCTCTGTGGACTCGGGAGAAGGGGTGCTTTGGGTGGAGGACACAGCAGGAGAGGGGACGGAGACACCCCCAGGGAGGCAGTGAGTCCAGCTTTATTCTGGGAACGAGAAGGAGGCTGGTGTAGCTGGAGCTAAACGAGCAAGGCTAGACAGCAGGAGACAGCAGGAGAGGAGGGGGTGTGGGGCAGCCTGAGGGAAAGAAAACCAGCTTCCACCGTGAGAGAGGCAAGACTCTCCAGGGGAGATCAGAAGTTACAGGATTCCAGATCTACATGTTATGAAAATTGCTCCAGCTGCCGGACGAGGTGCGGCAGGGGCCAGGAGGCGCTCTTGCAGGGATGCAGGAGACATGGTGGTCAAACGATGAGGATGTCCTGCCACCCACGGGGTCGCTCTTAACATCTTCCCTAATGTTGTAGACAAGGGACACTGGGAGTCAGGAGGCTTTAAGAACTGCTAGGGAAGAGCCTCTGTAAGAGGGAATCTGTTGGGCTGGCCTTCCTCCCATGGACCCCTTGTCCATCATGTGACTCAGCATAAACTGCTGGCCCCTCTCTTGGTCACCCCTGCACCTGCCATAGGCTGCAGTGGATGGTTTTTTCCCAAGCCTGCTTTGCCCCGGGTGGGGTGGGGGTCCTGGGAGCTGGAACTCCATAGTAGTTTTCCTTCCATCCTCTTCCCCCTGGGGCTCGGGGACCAAGGCAATGCTTGTGGAATGAACAAACTCATAAACTATCTGGTTTCTTCTCTGAGCTCTCTAAGGCAAGTCCGTTTCCCACCTTATGGAGGAGGAGGCTGAAGCTCAGGGAGGCTAAATATCTTGCAAAACTGCAAAGACATGATGTGGATCCAGACCCAAGTCCAAATCCCAACCTTGGTTTTGAATCGTGATGAAATGGGTAACAAACATCATACTTGAGGAAATACTATTGAAAGCAGTATTCTAACTCAGGTTATACATATGTTATTTTTACACACACACAGGTCATATATATATATATATATATATATATAGTTATTATTACACACATACACACACACAGGATAACTCAATCTTTACTTTTATATGCAAGGAGGAAATATGTCTTTATAGTGTATGTCCTTTATAGTGCGTGTCCTTTATAGTGTGTGAACGCATGCAGTAGCACCAGCTTCCATGCTAATGTTTCACGTATAACGTCTCATGAAATCCTACCAAATCTAGGATTGGCATCACCATTTTAAAAACAAGGACTGTGGGTTTGGCGAAGGTAACCATCCTAACCTGGCTTCTAGGGTCGCAAAGTTGACCTGACTTTTGACCATGACGTTTATTGCCACGTGTCTGTAGAATGCGTCTAGGTGCCGTGTGCCCTAAGGATAGGATGTACCCACGTGCGTTTTGTGCTCTTCATGGGTACGTTGGATATGAACCCATCACGTAGGTGTGTCGAGATGCTGTGCTACCAGCTGCGTGGAGGGCTTATGTTTTCATACCTGTTTACTGTGAAGGGATTGTCTGGGCTGAATGTCTGCGTCCCTCCAAAACTCCTATGTTGAAGCCCAAGCCCCCAGTGTGGTTGGATGGTATTTGGAGGTGGAGCCTTTGGGTGATCAGTACTTTTAGATGAGGCCATGGGAGCCCCATGATGGGATTAGTGCCTTTATAAGAAAAAGAAGAAAGAGCTCTTTCCATGAGCACACACTGAGGAAAGGCCACGTGAACATACAGCCAGAAGGCTGCTCTCTGTAAGCCAGGAAGGCAGCCCTCTCTACACCCCAAATCTGCCACCACCTTGACCTCAGAATCCCTACACTCTAGAGCTGTGAGAAACAAATATTTGTCGTGTGAGCTGCCCAGCCTGTGGTGTCCCAGCTACGGCAGCCCGAGCTAAGACAGGGGTCTCTGTGATACATACATATGCAGACAGGAAGATCGCTTTTGCTGCTTTAAGAGTAGAATTATTTTTCTGGTCTTTTGATATCCCTTTTCATAGCTTACCTGGCAAGACATTAATCATGGCAAGCTTAAAATAACTTTAAATTCAATTTTCTTTCCTCTTGAACGCCAGCCACACAGCCTGTTTACAGGGAGCACCAAACAAAAGTGGAGGACAAGGGGGAAAAAAGTTCAATCAATGTTCCCTCTTGTTAATTGGGGATTTATTACTGGTTCACTTGCTCACAATGGGAGGGAGCAGAGCCACCCTCCAGGTCCTGGGCCCTGGGCCGCTAATTGGAATCTGGGCTGATTCTCTGTGGACGCCTCACAAAGGAACACAGAGCTGAAGACAAAATGGAATTTTTATCTGTTTATGATTCTCTGCAGCCTGAGAGGCGTTTCCTAGAATGTGTGGGCTCGTCCCTCAGCACACCACACTTTGGCAGGGGGCAAGGGGGCTTCTCTCCACATGCATTTTTGGGAGCAATGTCCCCGTAGACTTGTGTTCTTTTATTCATTGACTCACACATTCATATCCGGATGGGCTTTTGCTGATGCCCCACTAAGCGCAAGCCCCGTGCTGGGCCCTGGACAAGACACCTCCAGCCCTCGGGCAGCTGACTCGGCCAGGGAGAAGCCGGCCCCACAGCCACCTGCCTGTTCCACTGAATGTGGGGACAGGAGCTCTGGGAGTGCAGAGAGGGGCAGGTCGGTTGTCCTGGGGGTTCAGAGAAGGTCAGTCCACTGAGTTCTGAAGAGCAAATAGAAGTTTGGAGGGTAAAGGAGAAGGCAAGGACATCCAGAGGAGAGCCTGGGAGCCTGGATGGGACGTTCCCATGGCTGCAGCACCTGCTGTCCCTCCTAAGTGGCCTCCAGTCGCCACAGACAGAGTTGTTAAGTGTTGGGTATCTGGGGCAGACAGAGCCTACAAGGTCCTGAGGAGACAGGTCAGAGAGACCCCAAAGGGTTTTTAAAGCCATTTCCGGGGATGGGTTGAGGAGGAAAGGGAGACACAGGGGGCTTGGAAAAGCCCGAGCCATGCGGTCAAAATGTGGATGCATGTGGGGAGGGGAGGAAGGGGGGAAACGCACTTCTGGATGGATTGCGGGAGGTCTGGCCCCGCAGGGCTGAGGGAACTTGGGTGGGCATCAGCGGGACCTCACCTGCTGCCACTCAGGAGACTAACGGCTCCAGTGCTGGCTCCCTGACAGCATGACCTCTGCCCCCAAGCTTACAGAACACGCTCCCACGCAGAACCCCACTGAGCCTCACACAGCCTGGGACACACGCGGTGCCGTCATCACACACAGAGACTGTGTCTCCTGCTCAGCAACCCCCAGCTTCAGGGAGCACTCGCTGGACGCACCAGGTCAGCCCCCCCCCCCCCCGCATGCATGTGTTCCGGCCCCAGCCGGCCCGACGCACCTGCCTCCCTCTGCTTTTCCTCCTCACCGATCTGCTCGGCCCCAGTGGAGTCCAAATGCTCCAGCCTGGTTTCCAATCCCTTCATCTTTCTGGCCCGGGGTCTTTCTGGCTCTGGCTCCCACTGCCTGGACCAGCAACCCACCAGCCCCTAACCTGACTCACCCCTACACATAGCTCGCGTAGCTCAGGTCTTCCGTGGGGGAAATGTCCCCCTGTCTAAAATAACCACCCCATTCTCCACCTCCATACTTTATTTATTTTTTTAACTAAATCTCCTTTATTTATTTATTTATTTAATTTTTTGAGAGCGAGAAGGGAAGGGACAGGAATGGGGGGAGGACAGAGAGGGGTGAGGAGAGAGGAGCCGAAGCAGGCTCGGCACTAACAGCAGATAGCCCGATGTGGGGCTTCAACTCAGCAGCCGTGACATCGTGACCTGGGCTGAAGTCGGACACTTAACCGACTGAGCCACCCGAGAGCCCCTCCACCTCCATAACTGAGATCAAATTCAGTAACGGATCCCATGTGATTAGTGCTCCACCTGCCCTCATAGGCTTAGGGCTGTGGGGTTATTCTTATTCCCCCTCAGAACGTACCACAGAATTCAGCCTAGAATAGCTGATCCAATAATGTTTTAGATGAAAATATGAATTTATGAGAGATAATGGGGGCAGAGGAAAGAACTGAAAACAAGCTCCTGGCTCCAATGGTGCCTTTGTGATGACATCATGCCAGCTTCACCGGTAGTGGGAAGGGTTTGCATTCAGTGGACCACCTGGTTGGTTTGTTTGTTTTTTTTTTTTTTTTTTTTTTTCACCTGCCCGTCAGCAGCCTGTGAAAGGCCGCCCCCTGGCGGTCCGCCACTGACACCAGCACCTCAGAGTCCATAAACTACAAGGTCAAGGTGAACCGGCCACACAGCACAGGTATTTCCCACAGCACCATGGGTTTCCGTGACCATAAGCCGCCAGCCTGTTGGCCAGCATCTTCTGTAGGCTGCTCTGGTAAGGCAAGCTCATCCCTTTGTCCATAAACGGGTCTAGAAGTCTGAGCTGGAAGGGAGTTCATGGACTGAGCCTGTAGTTCAGGGACCGCCAACGGGTAGCACTGGTGTCACCCTCCCCTGCTGCACACTGACAGGCATCACTAATAGATCACAGCACTCTCCCTGCTGGGGAAACACCCAAATCCTTCAAAACACCCCACTGCAGGCAGCCACTGGCAATCAATCTGAATCCACCTGTCAGATGAAAGCTGAGGCAGTCAGGTGCCCGGCAGAAAAGAGATGTCCCCCTCAGCCAGGAATGTCGCAGAGACTAGGAACAAAGGGACTCTTGCTGGAAGGGACCCTAACAAAGGATCAGTAGCAGTCGGGACCAGTTGGGACCAGTAGCAGTCGGTGGGGGAGACATGGCCACCCCTAGAGAAGAGGAAAGGGGAAGACTTGGTGTTAGGAGCTGGGTTCAAAGCCGGAGCCCTGCAGAGATGGGTACAGGTCATGACTGGGCAGCGAGGCAGGGCAGGAGCAGACGAGCAGATACCCCAACCTCTCTCTCCTCTACCCCTCACCTCAAGCCAGCCATTGGCCAAACAGCCTGGAAGACAGGAGGCAGTGACACTTTATGACATATTTCACTGTTACCAGCCAGCATCCCAGGACACACATCAGGACAGAGAAAGGCTGGTGGTAATCCTGAACATGGCATGGACAGGGGTCTGGGTTTTGGAGAATATCTTAGGTCAGGCCCTGAGAGCAGAGCCTGAGACAGGGGTGGGATTCACCTGACTCATTGAGGGGGTGACCCACAGGAAGTAAGGGAGGCAGAGCAGGGGAGGGGCCTCCGTTGAGCCAGATCACAGGTGGGAAGGGTCTCCACAGAGCTGCTTCCCTGCTCTGGCAGGCAGGGGGGCTGGCCATCTGTGCTCCTTTATCGGCCAGTCATTGGCTGCAGGCTGTCCCCAGGGAGGGAGCACGCTTTCTGAGGCAAGGACAAATGTTAGAAGGGGACGCTGAGGAGCCGTTGTGGAGGCTGGGGGCACCTGCCACATGAAGGAGACCTGAACCAAGCACCAGCCCCACCCCTCACAGAGGAGACGAGACAACAGACTGCCACTTCCTTAGCCGAGTGACAACAGACAAAACTTTGACTTCTCTGAGCCTCCATGTGGGTGTCTGTGAGTAGCTGTCAGTCCCAGTAAAGTTGAGCCCCACAACAGTCCAGACTGGCAGTTTCTCTCCTCCTTAGCCATGTCCTGTGATCTGCAGCCTGAAATGTAGGGTCACAGGGGCCTGACCCTTGGGGAGACCCTTGGGGAAGGGGAGGGAGGGTGGTGGGCAGCCATAGGTGGCTCTTTCAGCAGGCAGAAGCCCAGTGGTTGGCACTAGGCCACTCCAGGCCCCCTTGAGTTACACAGTATATGCATTATTTTTTGTGTGTCTGTGTTTCCCTATCCAACTAGACTATTTGGCCTTGAGATTAGAAGTGAGTTTGGGCTCCTACATACAACCAGGGCCTAGGAATTAGCAGGTGATCACCAAATATTTGCTGAATTGGGATAAAGCAGTCAAGGCCAGCCATAGCCCAAAGGCACTCACGGCAGAATGGATCCAGCCTCATAGAAAGGGAGGGTGGACGGTGAAGGAAACTTCACAAATGCCCCAGCAAGTCAACAGCAGACACTACATAAGAACCCAGAAGTGGAGTCCCAGCCTGGGGATGTGGGCCAGGCTTAAAGGCCAGCAGTACTCACTGGGTACAAGAATGTGCTTGGAAATAATGGAAAACCATTCACCACTTAGGTGACAATGGGACTGAAAGTGTCTAAGGAATAAGAACGTACCCCCAAGAAGTCTTCGAGAAAGGCCAGCGGTGTGAATCTGCCTCTTCTTCTCGGTCTGCATTTCCCTACCTCATCTTGTGGAAAGAGGGGCAATTGAAAATGCTAAGTGGTGTTGGCATCCACTGTTCCCTTGTCACTGGTCCTTGAAGACTTGGTGTGTCTAGGGTGTGAGTAAGCACGTGTGCATTTGGAGGACTGTCACTGCTTTTCTCACGTCACTCAAATCCCTGTATGGTTAATTAAAAGCCATGGCATCATCTCTACTGTGACATGGGATGATCCCTGCTCTACGATCCGTCATCCTAATTAGCAAGGAGAGAAGGGATTTGTCTGCTTTCAATGTGTATGTTTTAAAGCTGGCGAAACTCAGAGGAGATGGGCCTGAGCGAATCCAGCATGAAATTCTATTCAGAAAATCGTTTGTGAATTTTGAAACATGATCTTGGGCTTGTTCAGATCCAGGTCCCTTGTATTATTTCAACTGATAAATAAGTAATAAAGCAACAGTAACAATTATGAAAAGTATACTGACAGCTGATACCCATTTTATTGCTTTCCAAAGGCTTTGTCAGTGTTTCCCAAAGTGGGTTCCAAGAACCATAGACCTTCAAGATGCTCCTTGACAAAATGACCCGGTACATTTGGCATTTGGGGCTCACATAGACTTCTTTTGGAGACTTACGATATCCAGTGGACTATGAGAAACTCTGACAAGTTCTGCAGTTTAAGAAAGAGTAATTGAAGTCCAGACTTCTTTGAAATTTTTTTAATTACTTCTTTGCATAACAGTTTGAGTCAACATGGTCTGTAGCCGTAAAAATACCGAGCTAGGTAACCCCTGCATCACAGATGAAAATATTAGGCTCAGGAATGAGTCCCTAGAAACTGAATCCACATCCATTTGGCTCTAAAGTCTATGCTCCTCAGTCTCCATGACCCCAGGCTAGCAGCGTGGACTAGCGTCTATGCTTGCATAGACAGTTCAAGTATATGCCTCACTCTCACTGTGTGGAGGCTGTTCACCAGGCCAGAGCAGCCAGTGACACCAGGAGGGGACGGGAAAAGGGCATGTCCTGAGCATCCCTGAGTGCCCACCACTGTACTGGGCCCGGAGAATGTAGAGATGCTAAGATGGCAGCCCCTAGTCTGAGGGTGCTCCCCCTCTAGAAGCAGAAAGAAATGAATGACCAGCTTGTTAGGAAAGCAAAGTCTTCAGAGCCAGAAAGCTCTGATTTCCATTAAACGTCTGCTCTGTGCCCTGCAGTGTTCCGAGAACACCATTCCGAGTTTCCAAGGAGTTCTGACGAGCTTGGAAAATTCCAAGCCTGGTGCTTCTAGAAATAGTATTTGTGAGGGCTCTGAATGCGAGCTGTAGTCTGCAGTGCGGAAGCCCTGATGCCAGGTGTCCCAGGTATTCTTGGAGCTCCCCCAGAGCTGCTCGGCCAACCTCTCTTCTGTCCAAGGAGAAGGAATTGTTCTCTGTTGACTTGCCGCCAGCACCAGGCCAGGCCACCTGCCCGCTTCAGGAGAGAGCAGAGGGAAGTTTTGGGGAGGGCCTCAGGTGACAGCCGGGCCCAGGGAGGGAGCCTGTGCCGTGCCGTGGGCACCTGGGGCTCCTTGGTCAAGCTCCAGCGGGCTCTGTGAGCAGGGGGAAGGCCAGGTGCCACCATATTAATCAAGGATGTCACTTTAATGGAAGCAATGAAGTTATTACTTTATTAATTGATTAACTCATTCACGCTTTCTTTCTTGTTGCCTTGTGCCCATTTAGCTTTGTTCTTTTTCCATTCAAAATAGGGGCGATAAGACATATCTTGATGGGTTGTTGTCATGATAATTGGCAAGGATAGTGAGGGCTTGCATCAAGTTCCGGCACCAGGAAGGGCTCAACAGACTCCACGTTCTGGACAGTTTATGATCCGTTAGCTCTCTAATCATCTCTGCATCTCTGTCTTCTGCTGTCACTAAGCAAACTGAGTTTTCTGCCACACTCCATTCTCTTTGCCGGAGGGAGTGATCAGGAAAATAAAGAACACCAGGTTGCCAGCATTCAGGATGACAGATGGTCCTGATTTGCCCAGGATGGAGGGGATTACCCAGGAAGTGAGACTTGTAGTTCTTTTTTTTTTTTCTATGTTTATTCATTATTTTTGAGAGAGAAAGAGAGAGTGAAAGCAGGGGAGGGGCAGAGAGAGAGAGGGAGACAGAGAATCTGAAGCAGGCTGCAGGTTCTGAGCTGTCAGCACAGAGCCCGACGCGGGGCTTGAACTCACAAACCGTGAGATCATGACCTGAGCTGAAGTCGGACGCTCAACCGACGGAGACACCCAGGCGCTCCAAGGCTTGTAGTTCTAAATAGGAGAAGTCTCACCGAGATGAGTTGGTCACCCTACCTCAGTCAGCAAAAGGGCTGTTGGAGAACCAATAATGGAAGAGCAACGAAGATACTCAAAGTCCCATCTACATATGGAGAACACATTGATTTTTCTTGATTTGCCAAGGTCTAGATCTCTCAACACTATCCTATTAAACACTGTCAAGCAGGACCCTCTCTCTGGAGTCCAGTCCTGGTTCAGCCACCTCCAATCCACTTGGACAGAGTACTTAGCTTTTCTCTGCACAACTTCCTTGTCTAGATTCAGTTTGCTAATATCTTGGTTAGGATTTTTGGATCTATATTTCTTGTAAATCACCCTTACTTGGTTTGGGTATTGATGTTACATTCCGATGCCTCACAAATGAGCCGGGGATGAGTTGTGTTCTCTGGAAGCATTTGTATCAAAATGGAATTATATATATTTGTATGTGTTTGTATATAAATTATATATAGTTTTCATTTTGTCTATATTTATCGACATACTGCGTTTGACACAGACAGTTATCTTTAATGTTTGACATTTGTAGTTATGTTCAATTTTCATTCCTATCGTTAATGTTTGCTGGTTATTATTTTTTCTTGGTCAGCATTATTAGATGTCCAAATTACTGACACCTCGAAGAAGCAAATATTGCCCTGTTCTATTTTTGCTTTCTAAGTCACTACATTCTCGTCTTATATGTAGATTTTTGCTATATATTAAGAGGAAGCAGGGGAGAGTTGTCTTGGCCTTTTCCCAAACTGCCTGAAGCTTAACTCCCCAGCTGTAAGGCTGTCTTTTTCCCCAACATAAAACACCATGGTTTGGTACGCAATAATTTCATTATTATCAATGTACAGAGTATTGACGATTGTTCACTCCAATTTCCCCTTCGAATGAGTTGTTTAGAACTTCACATCATTTCAAATTCTTTTGAGGACGTGAAAGATGTGAGCTTTTCCCCTCCAGGCCTGTTCTCCATCCCTCTTCCATTCTGCGCTCTGTCCAACAAACCCACGGATGTGAACTGAGCCACTGGCTCCATGGCCCCTGGCTTCGCGGGAAGGAGACAAAAGGAGCAAGGAGAACCAGGTGAGGTATGCATTCCTGGGCTATTGTCCGTTCACTTCACTCAGAGCACATGTCACACCCTGGAGCTGTGCTGTTCACACCTGCTTACCTACCCCTGCGTATTCTGTCTCCCCGTTGATACGGTAAGTTCCAGGGTGGAGGTTTCCCGGCATCGAGCCCAGGGCCTGGCATGGATTGAGATCCCCTCTGCTACCAGGGCACCTGGGTGACTCAGTCAGTTGAGCGTCCGACTTCAGCTCAGATCATGATCTCATGGTTCATGAGTTCGAGCCCCACATCAGGCTCACTGCTGTCCATGCAGAGCCCGCTTCAGACCCTCTGTCCTCCTCTCTCTCTCAAAAATAAATAAACACACAAAACAAAACAGAACAAAAAAGATCCTCTCTGGCACCTGGTCCTGAAAGGAAGAGTTGGAGGGAGGTTTATAGATCGCAGAGCTCCGCTCCGTCCTGCTACATCTATGAAGCTGAGGCCAAAGAGGCAAGAAGATGCATGGATTGTCAGGAATCTCATAAGAGGCACAGCCAGGCTGACACTCAGCTCCCGGGGCTCCCGCAGGTACAGCGTGAGTGCTCTGGGAGGGACAAGGGAAGGGACGTGAGGCATCACACCTGCACATGGTGTGGAGATGTTATCGATCCATCAACAAAGGAGGTGGAAACACCCGCCAACCTGAGTCACTCCTTCCATTTCTTCTCCTAAGCCGCCCAGCCCCTGATGTCTGTGCCTCGTGTATCAAGCCTGCACAGACGGTCAGTTAATTAAATGAGGCCACAAAGAGCCAAATGGCCTGGAAGGTGTCTGTTCCCACTGCCAAAACTGTAACTTCTTTATGGCTGGGATTTTGAAAATAGAATAAACAAAAGTTTCCCAAGAAGCGGAGAGAAAACTACTCTCTTGAGATCAGACCAAGTAAGCAGTGACTGCCAAGGGACGGATGCCCAGGTCGCCATCTCAGAGCAGCCGGTCCCCACACGTGGTTTCAGTGCCCAGGCTGCCCACATCTCATTTACCTTCCTCCCCCACTGATCTGGGGCCAGTAACCACAGCACAAAAGGGAAACACAGACATTTTGAAAGAAACCACTGTGGGGCCATAAGAGGGAAGGAAGGCCAGCAAACATTGTTGAAAATTTTGATTCCGTGTGCTTTTAAAAATATTTAAGACTTTCCAAAGAGGACCTTGCTCATACGTAGATGTTTAAAAACTCATAATTAGTTTTATAATGGTTACCTTTAAAGGAATGGGAGCACTTGCCCTTGGGTCAGAAGTGGGACCAAAATACCACCTCCCTGTATTCCCGTGAGCATGATTCCAATGGTGCGTTCATCCCCTGGGGGGAGGGGCACCTGTTTGGGCCCAGACACTCACAGCCTGCTCTCAGAATGAACCCTTCTGGTAAGTTCCACCTTTCGGTTTTTATAAAACCCTTTCATGGGCTGATTTCTCATCATCATTCCGTGAGCCTGGCAATTACCAGTCTTATTTAAAGAGGGAAAAAAATTGAGGCTCGTGTAGGTTGAATTAACCTGCTCAGTCCATCCAGCACTAAGTGACAGCCTCCGAATTTGAACCTTACCTGTCCTGTGTATCGCCCTGGGACATATCATCACGTGTGTTGTTAGTTGAGTGTGTGTGTATTTCTTGGGATAATGTCTCTAAGTTTCTTGGGATAACATCTCATCTACTTTGCTATTGGCCAATTCAGTCACTGGATTACAGTGAACAGGGGCCTCGTGGTCACATGTTTAAAATGTTTGCCTGCACGTTTGAATGAATGAATGAACGGAAGTTCACCTGGATAAGTAACCTGAACAATAACAACCCCATCCTTGGCTCTGCTGTGTGACTTTGGACAACTCACTTTTGCTTTCTGGTCCTTGGATTTTCCACCTGTGACAAGAGTTCTTTAAATCCAATAATCTCCCACTTCCCTTTTTGTGCCACAGGTCTTGGCATGAATCAGCACAGCCAAATAGAAAGTGAGATCTCTTCCCATACTTTTT